GGGGGGGGGGGGGGGGGGGGGGGGGGGGGGGGGGGGGGGGGGGGGGGGGGGGGGGGTTCAGGTGTTGCGGCAGCTGTCCCGGGGAGGGATGAATCCGATGAAACATCTAGACTATCGCAACCTACATGTGGCAGGTGAAGGCCGCGGTTGTCCAATCTTGGAACCGTTGGTAGGGAGGTGGTCGCCTCTGTCATTCACAATGGCAGGGTCCCACCTCCCAGACAAACCTCGTGTCTTGAAAGAAACTGAAAGCCTAAAGTGCATGCTGAACTGAGCTGAAAACGTGAAGTGAGCTAACCTGAGCTATCCTAAGGAATGCTAAAAGAGTGCTAAAGTTGGATATGCGCAGCCCTTGCTAGGAGCTAATAGGAGCCTAATCTACGGTGGGATTGACAAGTGATAAAATAATCGAAGGTAGAGCTAGTTTACACGTAGATGCAACACTGCATTGCTGCTGCCTCATCCTCGTCAAACGGGGTGTATTAGTGCCTCCGTTCCCCATAGAGGGCTCGCGGCATTTTCAAGCGACCCGGGTAGTGCCCGCTGCCGTGCCGAGAGGGCACCACACGACACATCGGAAACAAACCTCGTATCTCCGACATCCCATTTCGAACGGATCATCTTACAAACAAGAGACGGGAGTACACCACGGGGTCACGTGCGCGCACACACACGTCGGCCACCACACCTGGGCAAGAGTGCAATACGGATGGATGCGTACAGCTGGGCACTGCGACATGAGGAAAGGAGTAGCCACGCGGGCCACCGCGCACACGGTCGCAAAGCGGGTACGGTGGGGGCTACGGTTGACGAGAGCTCACTTTGAGATAATTGCCGGTTTAAGGGAGGTCAAAATAGCTAGACACACCCCTCTGATACATCGAACCCCGACGCAGAGCATGTCTAGCATATGGCAAAGAAAAGAAATCCCCCGCAAGGGACCATTTGTGGCGGGAAACCGCAATGATTCGGGCGTCGATCGCCGTCTTCCTGTCCACATCAAGAGCATCCCGCGCCCCTCCTTCGGTCCCGTAGACCACGACCAGGTTTTTGTCGTGGTCTACGAGGCCGCAGAAGGGGCGCGGGATGCGCTTCGCGATTTCGCCAGGAAGACAGTGGTGACCGACGCCCAGATCATCGTCGTCCCCCTCAACAAATGGCCCACGGTGGGGCAATTCGCCAGTGAGCACATTGTTCTGTACACGCTAGGCTTGGTCTTGAGTCGACAAAGAGTACGATTCCCTATCCCACACGTTCCTACATAGCAGGGGACCGGCGACTGCGCTCT